TTTCCGCTTTTTAAAGACATTCAGTAACACCATAGCAATGCACATATAAAACTCATATTATTCCTGGATGTACTAATTCTAAGGTTATTGACGGGTAAATAACGGTAATTACACACGCATAGAATACAATGCATCATTTCATTATTTTGACATCAAAGACAGAACGCAGTGTGCAGCCTCTGTTTCCTGGACTGAAGATAAGCCACGTTCTGATCCATTTATGAAGACGTCTTCCAAACCCCTCTCACACACAGCCCACTAAAAGAACTGTTAGCCAAGAACACACACTTCTCCTGCAGCCCATAGCTAACTGATAACTTTAAGTGAAGCTACACAATGTGACTTATTTAATCCATATGACTTTAAATTTCCGACGAACGCCTTGATAGTAGACTTAACATGCAGAGAAGAGGATTTATGACTCAGGTAATTCTATAAAGACTGCAGAATGAAAGTAAAATGTGGTATTTTTAATCAACAACCCACAGCATGACTGGTCCTCTGTAAAAGATGATGTTCTCCAGGGCCATCAGTTGAGTTTTGTTTTGGTCAAAAGAATAAACAATTCCATATTCACAGATCTTTCAGGATCCAATCAACTTGATCAATCAAAAAGAATAATCGGCCAACTAATTCCAATTATCAAAATAATTGGGCCACTGTGATGGGAGACCTCTGGGAACACTAGATACAACAGTGGCTGTAAAGTGCCAAACTGTCATTCTGTCCTTAGGCAAGACACTCAACCCACATTGCCTAGTGTGAGTTTGTAATTGTACTCGTACGACGTAAGTATTGGTGATCGGAGGAGTCGATGGCACAGACTGGTTGCATCAGTCAACCTCGCTTCCATATGTCTGTCCCAGGGCAGGTGTGGCTACAGTCATAGTTTGCCTCCACCATGTATAGAGTGAATGAAAAATGCCATTGGGTGTCATGAAAGGCATTATGTAAGTAGTGTGCATTACTGTATTAAGCGATAAACACTAGGACACACACGTTACACACGTACACACAATACTGCAGTGTTTTGTTGTTTGCATCCAGCTATTACTGTCTATTTACGAAGCTGACAGATTTTGTAAAGGTTATCATTATAATATCCCACCGTCTGAAGTATCAACTATAAGAGATAAAAAACTCGGCTGTATGAAAGCAAAGCCTGGTGAAATGCGGTATCTGCTCCTGACAGACTCACACAGCGCTGACCAAACAAATGAACTTCAAAAACAACTCTCCTGGAGGTTTGAAGAGGAGCGCTGTGACTCTAAATAACAGTTTCCCTCTTCAGCTTTGTGGAGTTTAAACTTGTTTATAGCTCCACGTCTGTGTTCCACCTATGGGTTTGAAAATTAGTACATTATTGTATTGATTGCGCTGACACCACAGGGAGCATCCGGCAAATCTTTCAGAGCAATAATGTGGAATCAGCAAATGGAAAAATGCTTGGTTTGCACACTGCGGGTGAAAGGGCTTGCATCATTTGTTGTTTTCCAGCTCCGATGATTTGGTAAAAGAGAGTCAGTCATTCCTCACAGGTGCTGGGGTGTCCACAGTGAACCCTGAGCTGGATCATAATGGGACCTTGTTATCTCTGTCAAGGGAGGACGTTTTTTGATGATGCACTTATCTCTGTTATTGTTAGTTTTGCCTCAAAAAGTGATGGGAGGAACAGGTGACGCGGCTCACCGTCTGGATGCAGGATGGTTGAGGGAATATTGTTCTGATCTTTTTCGCTCTCTCTTTAACTCAAGGCTGTGTCTGAGAGAGAGCAGCCAGAGTGCGGCAGACGTGTCATTTATTCATCAATGCTTTTTTAAGCCATTTGGATGAGAGGGCGGCACGGTGGCTGAGTGGATAGCACTCTCGCCTCTCAGCAAGAAGGTCCTGGGTTCGAATCCCGGTCGGACCAGGGCCTTTCTGAGTGGAGTTTGCATGTTCTCCCCGTGTCTGCGTAGGTTTCCTCCGGGTACTCCGGTTTCCCCTACCACTAAAAATATGTATAATAGTTCTGGCATGCGCCTCCTGTACTGGCCCCTCCCATCTCTGTGTGGAGTGAGAGACAAATGCCCAAAAATAAAATAATAACAATTGTAAACCGCTTTGAGACTCAGATCTGCAGTGAAAAGGCGGTATATAAATAAAGATTACTAGATTACTAAAGATTACTACTAGATATACTTCAACGAACCTCTCCATTTGCAGTTCAGACATTTCACCCACAACACCTGCGAGTCTGTTGTGTGCACATACCTTCACATGCAATATGTGGCCTTAAGTTAAATGCAAAAGCCAGATCCCGTCAAACTTCTGATGCTGTGCAGGGCAGGGCCTGGTTAATACTGTGATGGGAGACCTCTGGGAACACCAGGTGCCACAGTGGGGCAGCTGCGGCTGTAAAGTGTCAAACTGCTGTTGTGTCCGTAGGCAAGACACTTCACCCACATTGCCTAGAATGAGTCTGGTGTGTGTGTGTGTGAATGGTTGGAGGTGGTCAGTCGTAGTTTATCACCACCGTGTGTGGAGTGAAAGAACAATGACATGAAGCGTCATAGAGTGTCCTGAAAAGCGCTATATGAACCCAATGCATTATTATCATTATTATTATTATGAACGGTTGGAGGCGGCAGCGGGGCTGTTGCCACAGATTAGTTGCTGAATAGCTAATGGGGCAGCTCTGGCTTCACCAGTATACCACCACATGTACGTGTGTGTCTTTGACCCAAAGCAGTGGAGTCGACAAATAAAATATACCAATATGATCCAGATCACTGTCTGGATCCAGGATTTTCTTTAGAAAATGGGAAATCAAAATCTAAACATGACATGAAAAGAGGAGATGGGCGGACACATGGACTAAATACTGGTGTGGCTTGTGGTAAATTCACATAGTTTGAGATCAATTAAAGACAGTTTTTAAAGTTGATTCAAAGATTATATTATAAATCATTATGTCTCATATCAATAATTTGTTCAAATAGCTTTTTTTTGTTCTGTTCAGTTTATAGTAGTGTTTTTTTCCCTTATCATCTCCCTGGCATTCTGGTATAAAAGCCTTCAGAATTCACAACACACTCCACATTATGATGCAATGTGGAGGCTAAACGAGCGTATCAGAAAAGGCAGCATCTCATTTAAGGATCAGACGATACTGTGAGAAAGACTGTTGTAACACATGACATTTAAAGTCTAAGCAGTTATGTTTTGAACCAACAATGACAGGCTCCAACCAAACAATTTGACAGCTCTTGCAACAGACTTCCATAGACGTGTTTGCATTATCGAAGGCTATCATTTGTATAAAATTGTTAAAGCTTTCATATAAAAAAAAGAAATACATTGGCTGTCAGTGCCCACTTGAGATGATGTAAGTGAGTCCATCCATCCATTTTCTACCCTTTAATCCATTTCTGGGTCAGGGGGGTGGCAGTCAGAGATGCCACCCAAGTCTCATAGCACCAGCCCCTCACTGACCCTCTGCAGGTGGTGAGTCCACAGGAGGACGGCTGCTCTCTGAGTGTGAGCATAACCTTGATCTTTCAGTGGGGGCTTTGGGCAAATTGGGGTTAAGTGTCTTGCCCAAGGACACAACGACAGCAGTCATCAGTGGGAGTCGATGGAGAAGGTGCAGAGGTGGGAATTGAACCCACGACCTTCTGGCCTTAAGGCCAATGCTCTACCAACTGAGCTACTGTCGCCCTCGCCCCGAGTCGCCCCGAGTATTTGAGCAAACTGATCCAATGTGCATGCACTTTCAGCTTTATCTTCAGCCTTCAGGCTAATGGCCTTGTTTCTCTGCATCTCTGTCTGACTCAAGCAAATGTCACCCACACAGGATTAAAGATGGGAAATGGAAGCAGTCATTGCTATACATCATCACAGTTATTGACTGGCTTCAATAAATGGCTGTTTAATGACTTCTGAAGTAGGGCAAGGAAATTATATAATGTAATCTAATGAAATGCACAGATCTTTGCTTAACTGCGAATCTTTGGGCACACATTGGGCATATAATTATGATCACTGATAAAGACATTAAGATTGTTAATGTTAAACCATTAAACCAATGTGATAGAGGTTACATGAAAAGTAACAAATGCCAAGCCTTTGTTTGTTACAATTATGGCTCAATTATGGTCCTGTTGACTCCCCACCTGCAGGAGGATCAGTGAGGGGCTGGTGCTGTGTGAATTGCCATCCCCCTGACCCAGAAATGGATTAAGGGGAAGAAAATGGATGGATGGCGTACAACCATTTAAAAAAAAAATTATATATATATATATATAAATTAAAACATTTCAAATTAAATGAGTAAAAATGTTTTTTAGATGGTTTTACAACCCTTAATTATCAAGGCTTGATATATGTACATCACTTTGCATGTAATAAGTATGTTCGTTTAAGTTGAAGAAATAATTTTTCAGAGTTTCATCTGTATGTTGATATTAAAAAAGTATAATTGATGTGTTTTGAAAGCTTTTCACCAGATATCTTGCAGTGTGTGCAGAATAGCTGACATCGTGCATTTAAGGAATCCCTGTGTCCAATAAAAATGCAAATATATTCTGCATATTTTGCTGATGTTAAAGAAAACCACAGATGCTGCTGTTTAGAGCTACACCTTTTACTCACACATGAAAATGAGGCACCTGTTTATGTGAAGGATGGAAAGATTCAATTAAAGATGTTTATCATAAGTTTTTACCATGAAAACGCTATAATGGAGTACTGTTGCATCTCTCCAAGCCTTTCAGTTTAAGGATCAGCACAGCTGGAGGGCCCTCATGGAAACGTTGCAGGACGGGGTTGTCATATGCCAGGTGTGGATGACTGTCAGCTGGCTCCATACTTTGGTTGCAAGTTCTGGTATTTGTACAGACCACCTCTTTCTTTTTCTCCCCACTACCAGAGCCACAGATCAAGCCGCGGCAGCACAAATTTGTCTTGGTGATAAGCCGCTCAAGAGGTTTAAAAGAGTGCATCCAAGGTGGCAAGAAGTCCTAGTTTCGGAGCATGTTCGGAAGATACTCCGGACCACGGTTCTGCATTAGGTTTATCAAAGTAATACAGATGGTTACGCTTAAAAAGGGAGCCCCGACACCCACCATCACCTGCCATCCTGCCAAGGACAGGCCAAGCATGAGGGATGGAAGCACCAGGAAGAAAAGCAGTAGATAAAGGACAGAAAACCAACGGTACTTAGCAGTCCGCTCCCCCAGGACACGGGCCATTCTTATGGGCAGGCGCAGACAGGGAATGGGATACCACAGGACTATGCCAGACACATTGAAGAAGAGGTGACATAATGCAATCTGCAAAGAAAATAGAGGATAAACATACTATTTCTCTAGAGAGAGGACTCATAATAGACGGTGTATGTAATTGTAAACTATATTGTACGTGCACATCCTGTCAACTCCTCAGATTCCCTAATTTGAAATGAAGCTTGGTTTCTTCTTGATTTCCCTGTTGTTTCCCTTCATATGCATGTCTCTTTCACTTAGCAGAGAAGAGGTGTAAAATATATTCATGAAAATACCAGCCCCAGAGTGCTAACGCGTATCCCCTGTGTTTTTATTCCGGTATTCAAATAATAATGAATGTTGGGTTTACCTGAACAGCTGCAGGGAGTTTGTTCCCGGGACTGGCCAGAGCAGCGAGGAGAGCAGTGGTTGTGGTGCCAATGTTGGCACCAAGAGTCAGTGGATAAGCCCGTTCCAAACTGATCACACCGACTCCTGGGAAGACATTCGGCGACAATTGAAAAAATTGACAAATGTGCTTATTTGTTAAGGACATTTGCCCCAGGCTGCGGTCACATGCACAGCCTAAAGCCCGGATAAAGTGGGCGCAAACACCCACCTACCCAATGTCTCTGATTGGCTGAAGACGTAATCTCACTATACATCAGCCAGTAATTGCTGAGAGGTTATCTCATCCTCCCTTCTCTCATGACAACACACGCACGAGTGTGTTGTGCGAAGTAAAAAAAAAGTTAATTGTGCAACTTGAGTAACGTGCAGAAACGGGGTGTCGGCAATGATAACGGCGTTAAAGTGACAGTCAAAGTAATTAGATACATTACTCGTTATTGAAAAAATTAACGGCATTAGTAACGTTTATTTCAATGCCGTTATTCCCATCACTGAATATTAGTTATTGATATTTCAATATTCAAATAGGGATAGTAGATTTTAAAGGAGCATTAGGCGGTGATTATAAAGTAGGCTCCTTTGTGAATTTTGCCCCTCAGGCGACCGCTAGTTAATTAACTCTCCATGCACACTTTTCTCATTCTCTCTGCCTGAAGCACGTCAAACGTAATAACAAAACAAACATAAATAAATAATGTAAATATGACTCTGACTGCATCGTTATTTGTAGTAATTAGTTAGAAGGAAATATATTGCGTTGTGCCTTGATAAAGGTGCAAATCCATTGGTCAATACAGAACTAAAGATTTCTTACTGATCTTAGTGGTTTGGGGCTATAGTTCAATCATTTATTATTGTATAATTTACATTTCATTATATTTTTTATTGCAAAGTGCATACAGAGAAAGCTCTTAGAATGTTATTATGCTAATCATTGATTATGTTATTTCCTTGGCGTTGTCTCACTCCTAGGCAGTAATAAGTATCACTTGGAGATAATGAGTTGTCCTTGAGCCAAACAACTATTGCAAATAGTAACACATGTGTGGTATCTAGTTCGAAGCATGGGCGTTCAAAATCAGTGCACACATTGGTTTGCAGCACTCAATAACAGTTGAAAAAGAAAGAAAGAAAGAAACTCTGTTATTTCTAGTGTTTTGAACATTCTGGACACCATCGCCCCGTGAAGGTTAAAACAGTCCGAAATGAGCAGAAGGCTCAATGAACAAATGCTGACTCGGCCAGAGCAAAGAATGTGGAGTGCCAGAGGGCAGAGCGGAAATGGCACAAGTCCAACTTACAGGTTAATTATAAGATCTCCAAAGATAAGGGGAATTCATTTTTCAGAAAATATTGCTGCATAATTACGTGTTCTACAGTTAACATAATAACAAAACCTCCAGCTTAGTTACCATTAGAACTAGCCTCCACATCTAAGTGTAGAGTTTCCTACATTGTTTTAACAACAAGGTTCCAACAAATAACAACCCAACAATCCCTTAAAACTTTCTCAGATTCAATTTGTAACTGTAAAACTGTCCAAGCAATCATCTCCAGTCTGAGTTCTGTCAGGGATGAAGCAGACAGAGACGGATCGTGGTGTGCCAAACTCTGGAAGTTTATTTAAGTTTCTCTCAAGTTCCACTGGTTTACTCTGTTTCTTTCTCTCAGACAGAATAAAGGCAGTACACAGTTTATATAGTCATTGTCACGTCACACATCGAAAGACATACGTGTCACAAAGAGACAGTCACATCATAGTCATAACATGGAGTCCTTGTAGAGTCCTGCACGTAGGCCATATTGCTATCTAATACTAACAGTTCCTAGTTGTATTGCCCACAAGATTTATAAAGTCTGTTCTGAGACTTATTTGGAGGTTTTCTACCTTCCAGATTTGTTGCTTCAATCTGGAACAATCACAAAGGCTGGGAACTGGTCATCAGGCCCCTTATAAAGATGAAAACTGAACAATTACATCCCGTCTCAAATCTGCCAATACAAGGACAAGTCCATGAAAACTTGGTCTACCAAAAGCTTGTAAAATTTCTCTTCATTTTTTGGAAGCTGTGTTCCAGATGTCGGGGTTCAATCTCTGTTAGGGCATGTTGTGATTGTGTATTACCTGACCTATAACACCTACAGTATTTATGCTCTATTTCACGCCTGTGGGTTCAAAATCGCCAATCCACAGGTGTTACGTAGTTGGACTAGCTTCTTTCTGTCAGACAAAACTCTCAAAACAAGAATCCCTGCTAAGTCTCTGACATTTTTTGACACAAGTCTCCATGACCTCGCACGAAAGTACATCAGTGACATGTAGTGCCAGGCCCTCCAGAAAAGGTGAGACAGACAATTTTCATGGTGATTATAACTTCCATGCCCTAGCTCAAATAGAAAGATGGATTAACTGATATAATTATGATGGTGGGCTGAATGAGTCTACAGGTGTCATTCACTGACAAAAGTTTTCAAGCTGTGGCTAGAGTCATTTTGGAGTCTGCTCTAAAATGAATGTGTTGCACTTTAAATCCTTAGGTTACTCCGGCCCAGACAGGAGTTTATAAGTATTTAGTTTGAAAGATGGGCTGAGAGAAACATTTTATTTTGAAGGCTTTGTAGACCAAACACAGACTCACAAGTGACAACAAACAACAACAAACGACTCATACATTTCTTCTGCTTTATCCGGAGCCGGATTGCAGAGACAGCAGACCACGCCTTCTCCACAAGACCCCCATGAAAGTTCCACCTGACCTCCATAAAGGCTACTTGTGGACGGAACATACCTCTCTGATGACCCCAAAGAGGGACCAATACGGAGCAACATCATAACATTATGGTATAGGGCAGGTGGAAGGCATTTGGACTTCACTTTACCTTTACCATATTCATTTATCTATAGCTCTTAATCTTTTCTTATTCAAGTAGTTTACCCCCTAAAATCATCAGTTAATGATTAGATTAGAGCAGTGAGGCTGTAGAGCCAACCACACCACAGAAACTGCACCGGCTGCTGACCCCTGCGTCTGACACTGTTGCCCACCACATTCCTCTGCTAAGGTTAGAATGTGACGCAGGTGTTAGAGGGCAGCAGCATTGCAAGGGTTCACCACAGAGCTCCAGAACAGCAAGAGAATACATTTACATATAGTGGTCCGTCGTTCATCACAGATGTTATGATCTAGAACAGTGTTTCTCAAACTGGGGTACGCGTACCACTAGGGGTACGCGTTGGGGTACGCCAAAGAATCAGTGAAAAAAAAAAAAATCAGTGAAATATTTTTATTTTTTATTTTACCAGGAAAGTCCCATTGAGATTAACTCATTCACAGCCATGGATGTCATTTGAGGACAACATTTCAATCTTTTCTTGTCAGTCTGTGTCCCCTGTATCATACTGTCTGGGGTTTGGCTGTAGACAGAATTTTATTAAGCCAGCAGGTGGCAGCAGAGCTCCCTGGCTTGGTCAAAGATCACTCTGAGCATTCTGAGCAGGAGAGACAGAGGTGAAGCAGACATGGAGTAATATAGTCAGGGTCAGGCTACATTTGGAGGCAGTTTGAGCAGTAAATGTGTCTCCAGAGCTGACAGAGACCATGTGGAGGGTCATAGCAACAGACCATGTGGAGGGTCAGAGCAACAGACCATGTGGAGGGTCAGGGCAGCAGTCCATGTGGAGGGTCAGGACAGCAGACCATGTGGAGGGTCATAGCAACAGTCCATGTGGAGGGTCAGAGCAGCAGTCCATGTGGAGGGTCAGAGCAGCAGTCCATGTGGAGGGTCAGGGCAGCAGACCATGTGGAGGGTCAGGGCAGCAGACCATGTGGAGGGTCAGGGCAGGAGACCATGTGGAGGGTCAGGGCAGCAGACCATGTGGAGGGTCATAGCAGCAGACCATGTGGAGGGTCAGGGCAGGAGACCATGTGGAGGGTCAGAGCAGCAGACCAGCGGAGCACCCCAAAAAAGCCACAGAAAAGTGGACTATTGCTAAAACTATCACTGAGTCCACACCAGGAGCCAGCGGTAAAGTCCAATTATGGTCACAGCGCTCGCTGGACTAAACAGACGCTCTGTAGATGTAACCACACAAAAACACACAAACGCGTGCATAAACGCACATACATGCGCGCCCAAACACACAATGACACACAGCAGTATTCTATTGCACTTATACTATAAGTATTCACTTTGATTTATTGTCATGTATAGTGTTTATCATTGTAATTTTGTTATTCTTTGATTTACTCTTATTGACATAAATATAGCGCCACCTAATGGATGAATACTGGCCATTCTTTCTGCCAGAGTTTGTCATGGGCTCTACTTTCAATATGTACATTTTGAAATTTTTTGGATGAGTACATTTTGAAACATTCGAGCAGCACTTTGTGGATGTGAGTGTGTGTGCCATAAAACGTATTATTTTGCATTAAAAACACTTTCTCAGAACTTGTTGTTTTCTAACTTGTAAGATCCTGGACATGTTTGAGGAGATGCTAAAGTCAAACTAAATAGTTTTACAATCACTTTTCTGCAGTTCGTCTGTTTTCACAAACACCTCATTTTCTCATTTTTTTGTCTAAGACTGGTACTTTTTGTCACACTTCCCTCTTTTCGACTGGAGATCACAGGAGAACGAAACAAACTAAGAACAAACTTCTTTGCTGCTGAAAGTAGACAGTCCTGTCTTTCAGACTCTGGTTTCATATTTTTCATAGCACACAATATTCTGTGAGTCTTAAAAATCAAAAATGGCTGGCAGTCAATGAGAACCTCTTTTTCGTGTACAAAAATTACATAAAGTTACAGATTATAAAGCAGTTACATACATATTATAAAACAGCCACATACAGATTATACAACAGTAACACACAATTTCATAAAATTACGGATTATAAAAATAGTTAAATTTCACTGAAGATGTCTCAATCTGGATCTAAAAGCATTCAAGGAAATAAGATCAGATCATTTCTAGTCTTTTTGCAACACGTTCCATGTAGAAGGAGCAGAAAAAACAAAAGCACAGAACAGAGAGCAACAAAAGATCATTTGATCCAAACCATGAGAACATGTCTCTGTGAGTAAACGACAGATGTAAGAGGGCAGCAGACCAAGCCTTAGAAACTAAAGTGCACCAGTGTCCAAACCTTCTGTGGACAAAGATCCCACTCCAGAATATCACTCACAGTGAGGCTTTGCAGTTCGTAATGAATGAAGCATTTTAATTGAATCATTATTTAAGTTTAAAAAAAAAATCTCCTATATTTAAGCGCAGTCTTACTGTTAAAACTGTGTAAAATATTACATTAAATATACTTCTTTAGGAATTAAACCCCTGCCTTGTTTTTGATGAATACTTAGGCTTACTACGCTACTGTGTGGTGTTGGTCATTTGTGGTGGTACTTGGAGAGGCAAGTATTTTCTGAGGGGGTACTTGGTGTGAAAAGTTTGAGAACCACTGATCTAGAAAATAAACACTTTTCTAACCACCTGAACTCGTGACTGCTGAAGTGTAATTGTGGAGATATCAAACCTGTTTGTTCCTGCAGCTGTCAAAAGCCGTGCAAACGCCACAAAAGCTGCAGAGGACACTGTGCTGAGAGGCAGAAGCAGGACTGAGGGCAGTAGTCCTCTGAACTACTCAGTGGTGCACAACATTTTTTAATTTGACTTTAAATAAAGGTAACTGTCATGTTATACTAACGATTTAGTGATGTTGTTGGAGGATACACATGGTATACACATGGTGCAAAAATCTACAAAACTGCAAGGCCAAAAAAAGTGAGCAGCCTTTTAGTGATATAAGTATATCTCGTCAAATATTTGTACTCAAAAACCTTCGCTAAGCGCTTACAATGATAACTGACAACATTTTAATGTGATAACATGTAGCCTTTTCCAATTTCTTTGATGGATTTTTATCATATCTGAGATGGCAAAATTAGCTATGTTATTGAAATATCATCAAGTGATGATTCACTGGGTCTTTACAGTTGAATATTTTTTTTGTTATCTTTAATGAATTAATCCACATTTACAAAATCCCTGTTGAATAAAACATACTGTATTGCTTTTCTCTGATGATTCGCCCAAACAGTGCTTTCTAAATCAATTAGCCGTTTGCTGTGCAAATCAACCTGTATTTGATGCCACTGACTCATTATCTTGTAGGTTCATGTCAACAGTAGCATTACGCCACAACGTCCTGGAATCAAACACACGTGCACTGTACCTATGAGGCACTTTACCTATGATGCACTTTACCTATGAGGCACTTTACCTATGAGGCACTTTACCTATGAGGCACTTTACCTATGATGCACTGTACCTATGGGAGGGGTGAGGCACTGTACCTATGAGGGAGGTGAGGCACTGTACCTATGAGGGAGGTGAGGCACTGTACCTATGGGAGGGGTGAGGCACTGTACCTATGAGGGAGGTGAGGCACTGTACCTATGAGGCGGGTGATGCACTGTACCTATGAGGCGGGTGATGCACTGTACCTATGAGGGAGGTGAGGCACTGTACCTATGAGGGAGGTGAGGCACTGTACCTGTGAGGGGGGTGAGGCACTGTACCTGTGAGGGAGGTGAGGCACTGTACCTGTGAGGGAGGTGAGGCACTGTACCTATGAGGGAGGTGAGGCACTGTACCTATGAGGGGGTGAGGCACTGTACCTATGAGGGAGGTGAGGCACTGTACCTGTGAGGGAGGTGAGGCACTGTACCTGTGAGGGAGGTGAGGCACTGTACCTATGAGGGAGGTGAGGCACTGTACCTATGAGGGAGGTGAGGCACTGTACCTATGAGGGGGGTGAGGCACTGTACCTATGAGGGAGGTGAGGCACTGTACCTATGAGGGAGGTGAGGCACTGTACCTATGAGGGGGGTGAGGCACTGTACCTATGAGGGAGGTGAGGCACTGTACCTATGAGGGAGGTGAGGCACTGTACCTATGAGGGAGGTGAGGCACTGTACCTATGAGGGAGGTGAGGCACTGTACCTATGAGGGGGGTGATGGCGGAGGTGAACACTGAGCTGCTCTGGACGACAAACATGATCCCAGCTCCTACGAACATGGCCCCGCAGCCAGAGAGCCAGCCAAACGGAGAGGGCAGATCTGCAAACATGAGGTTAAAGACCACAAACACACTTTTAGTCCACTGGAAATGTAGCATGAGTGATCTCAGCATACTGTAGTCTCCTCCTGCCACCTGCTAGTGTAGTGATGGTGTAAAATAGTAATGAGTGAATCAGACATCGCTGATCACGGGGAATGTTAACATTAACATTTTTGAATTAAAATCATATGAATTATTACGTCAGTTTTCCAAAAAAATATCACCTAACCTTTACATGGGGAATTATTATGGAAAAATCAGCTTTGAAACCAAAAGTATTAAATAGCTGTGAATAGCAAGGAGGGATTCATTTGAGATTATATTACATTATGCAAAAGAACAAATCTTTATCCCCAAGTAGTCGTACTGTACTGTTATGATCCTGACTGGCCGCACTAAAGAGACTTTAAGGAAGATCAACTTCTGGCGCTAAGTGTTATTGTGTCTCAGTAGGACAATAACAAGACAAATCAAGACCTTAACCATTATTGGATGCTAAATACTAACTCCAGCTACAAGGACATTGTACAATTGTGCTGCAATAATCCTATAACTATTGAAAACATTATATTTGCAACAATACATCCTCTAATATTATATTAGGTTGATTTAAGTTACAGTATTGACCACTTCGGCCCTCTTCATTGTGTTTTCCTTTAAATATACGACCTGCAAATAAGACATATTCAGCTTCATTTTGGCCTTTAAAAATGAGGGAAGAGTTCAGTTTGTTTTTTTTGTTTTTTTTTTGTTTCATTGAAACACAGCAATGTAACTGTGAATAACATCATTACACTAGAAACATTTACAAAACAAATCAGTAATATGCTTTGCTTTAATCAGCCAAAAACTGCTCTGAGTGTGATGTCATAGTGAAATACTAATGCAGGCCTGATGCTGCGTTCACGAAATGAGAATGAAAACTGCTCAACTCAGTCTGAGACAGGGTTGGGTTAATAGTCCGAGTTGGCGTCAGTGTGACACGTTTCAGATTGGGATTGGATTAAAAATACAGACTGAGAGGGGTGTGCTGTATATCAGACTGATGGTTTTACTTTACAAAATAAACATATTTAAGCCCAAAATCTATTACAAATTGTACTTAGTAAATTCATGGCCACAAAGGTTTTTCAAGATCTACATAAAGTGGTATATGCAAAAGCACTTTTTATAATACATTTGCTCCTGTGCTCCTGATACCACTGATGTGAGAAATCCCTCAAACACACCCCTCTGCTGGCTCCGTCCTCCAACACCTACACACCCGGGTCTAATAAGGCGGCCATTTTTAGTCCTGGAAGCCCAATGTTTCCCCATTTTATGTGTATGCATGCGTATAGGAGTATCTTTGTTTACACCCACGTGCACATGCGCCCCTCGGCTGGCAGAAAGTTCAACGTTTACCGTAGGTAACAGCATAAAAGGACAACCACTTTACCGCACCCGTTTTTCGCTGTTCTTTTCCGAAAGAATTAGAAAAAAAACGTAATCTGTCCCCAGCGGGCCGTACAACCGACCACACAACAAGAATGAACCATTTGATTTAGTAAAACCTCTCTCCAAACGTCTAAAAATAGCTAGCTCTCTAGCATCCAGGTAGCTTTCTATGTTGTATTGCCACCCGGCCACGTGACCGGCGCGGAAAAACTATAAACAACGCCAATGAAATTGCACCAAGAAGAAGTTCCATCCAGGCTATGGATCAGCATGCGTCATGTGCGTTTTAAGTTAGTTGATTTCCCCTTTTAATTTCATTGTTTGTTAATCTGCAATTTGTTTTCTGCTTTGTTGCAGTGTAAACAAGCATGTCTGATGCCATAATAAATCTTTAAACTGACCCTGTCTCGAGGCCTTCTTTATTCACTTGAGTTCACGTGAAAGTTGCGTGAGACAGGAGCATTTAGACAGAAGAGGTGAAGTCACAAGTTTGAAGTTCCTGATATTGGTGGATGGATCTGAATACAACTTAGCTTTATATGTCTCCTTTAACATTAGGACTCCAGAATTCTGAAACTACAGGAACTTTCAGTGCAGCCATTTTGACGGCTTCCATTTAATTTAATGGAATTCTGAAAGAATTTCATGTTTTTACTATCTTTAATACACTGGTTAAAAAACTGGTTAATACAACTGAAAAAACAGCTAAACTAAATTAGCCTGGTTGTACCACACCTCAGTACAAATTTCATTTGCTCCATTGAGTTCCGTTTACAGGTGGGAGGGGTTAACTCCTTTTGCAGATTGAAACCATTGGATCTGAGTTTACCGTGACGTATGTAGTGCGCCCGAGTCTGTTGTTAGCATTTAGCCTAGCTATCTTCTTTGCTGCTAACGCGCTCTCTGAGTAGCCGGTCGAAATACGACCGATTGTATTCGCTAACACAGGAACCAGACCCAGACGTTACATGCAGTGAAATGATGATTGAGCGGAGTGTACGGATGGCTATGGCCAGGCTAAAACTAAATACTAACTGCTGCTAGTAAACAGTGAAACAGTGTGTTGCTATGGTAACTAGCTGAGATTGCTCTGTACCAGTCTAGGATCAAAATAATTTTAAAAACATAATTACCTTGAAATAAATACATAAAGAGACAGAAAAAGTCTCAAAGTTATGAAGACAAAAGTCGTCAAATTGACTGCTGTTGGAGTTATATTATAATATTAAAATATAATAATATAATATAATAATATTTTGACCACCCACGCCAGTCCGGTCAGAGCACTTTGTCTCGGCCCTTCTCCTAAAGCAACACCAAAAGAAAGAAAAACCCGCTACCTGTGTTGACGACTTTGTGGATGCTCTTTGCTACTTGTCCTTGGAGGAGCGAGTTGAGCAGCTTGACCAGCAGCAGCAGACACGAGCAGAGGACGGTCAGCGAGGCGGCCAGCAGAACCAGGCCTATGCTTAGATCTGACAGCTGAGTGGATGAAAACAAGTGCCTACCTGCAGAGAGGAGACGGCATCGGAACAAAAAACAAACAATCTCTGAACAAAAGCCGAGGGAGAAGAGCGAAGGTGCATTGTTTGTGCAGAAGTGAGTGGGAGGTAAGAAACATTACTGTGGAAACTCACACTCATGGAGCTCATTGCCAGCCTCTAAATTGTAATAAGGGTTACAAGATTCAAGGCTGGTGTTCGTGGTGGGCTGAAAAAGAAATAGCAAAGACTGTATGTGTGAAATAACGTTGCTATTCTAAGTTATGAACAGAGGAGGAGAGACTTACAAGATTAGTTTGGCATAATCGCTTCACCAAACTACTATTTGTCATGTGCTGGTTGCCCATAGCGATTTCAGTGATGACGCATTTGTCGAGCTACATGAAAAATAACAAGTAATTACACTTGAATAGCTTAGTGATCCAATCTGAAAAGGATTATTTTCATGTGGTTCTCATTAGTGCTGGCTATCATTCAGAGCCTGCCAATACAATTTGAATCTCGATACAGAGGATCTAGTTCTAAACAACTTGACACGATTCAGTCAAAAATAAAAGCTTTTGGCTCCTTATCTACCGCTTATTATCTTTTAACACAAATAGAACACTATTGGTGTATTTATATCTAATGTATTGAATATGAATCGTTTTTAAAGGGGACTTGTGCAACTTTGTGTTTGGCAGGGGGGTTATATTTTTGCATTTTTGACCTTACAGTGTCTATGAGAAGTCAGTGTGGTGCCTGTACTTTAACCTTACAAACCACCTTTAGCATCTTACAGACCACTGTGATGAAAAGTAAAGGTGTCATGCCGACCACTCCTACAGCCACTGGGCCACAGTAAGGTCAATTATGCAAAAATGTGTGCGTGTTAGTTAGTTTGATTTATTTCAAACCTGCAGAACCCAATTTCACATATCTTTATACTAAAACAGGTTTGAAAAGGGGTTGGATGAAGCAGATGCTGACTTTTTCTCAACCCCCTCTCACCATTCAACACAATAATACACAAAACACAATGCAACTAATTAACATACAGAATGCAAATATGTATACAAATATGACACACACACACCCCACTGTCTCATCACCTGCTCTGTGCTCAGCACTTTAAAAAAAAACTTGTTTTTTAAATTGTAATAGGAATAGACAACTTTTTAAATAGCTTGTTTAGCATTAAAAGTTGCATAATGCCCCTTTTATAGTCAAAATCTATATGTGTCTATGAATTGTTTAAAAAATAAATACACAAAATAAAAACAAGATATTGAACAAATATGTATATGTGTCTACTTTGAATAATCTATATGTTTGAGCACATGCCTGGTTGTTATGGTAACTCACCTGTATGATGAGTTTTGTGACTGGTTCGGTGTTGACTTTGAGCAGTTCGGGTGCGTCCTGTCCCGTGTGGAGACTGAGGCCGGTGACTGCCCAGTGGGACATCCGGGTCATGAGGCCACTGACCACCTCCAGGGGCAGCAGCACCAGCACCGACAGCCAATTAAAGCCGTCGTGAATGGTTGCACCCGCAAACGCCCTGCAGCAAGCCACACACACCGATATGTAGTAATAATATTAGTAGTACATCAATCAATCAATCTTTATTATAGAGCGTGACTTTGTAGAGTTCACATCACACAAGTCCCAAAGCATCACATAAAACAAACACCAAAATCACTCCACACCCGCTGATGAGGGAAGCGCGACTCTGAACACTGGCGCATCGAGGCCCCAATCTACATCATCTATTCATTCTCTCATTTACAGTCACATCTATTGTGCATGTTTCCATCACCCGGAGGAAACCTATGCAGACACAGGGAAAACATGCAAACTCCACTCAGAAAGGCCCTCTTCCGATCGGGGCTCGAACCCATGACCTTCTTGCTGAGAAGTGCTATCCACTCAGCCACTCAGCCGCCAGTGTCACCCAGTGCATTAAAAACAGAGATAAAATCCTACGTTCAGGGCCATTGCAATAGCTGCCAGAGCCATAACACAACATTTTGCATCTGCTGTAAGGAAAAAGATCCACCAGGGGCAGGGATGGAGAGCTCTCTGTTGCATCATGATTTGCTCTAACTATATGACTGCATTGTATCTGTTAAATAAATAAATAAGTGATAAGCAGATTGAATATTATCTTCAGCCCCTGATTAACCTGGTCTGGTTTTTCAATGTAGTATTTTTCTTTTTCAAACTTTTGCTTAAAAGACAAACGCATCACTCTCTTTCCTCCCATACTTTTTTTGGGACGACTGTTTAACACAATTGTAGGTTTTTAATTCAGTCAGTTCCAACGAGTAGCTCCACGCACTCCGATACATCTTGTGTTTAAAGGCAAGGCACGTTTATTTGTATAGCGCAATTCATACACAGGCAACTCAAAGTCATTCTAAATTCAAGCACTTACATTTTTTGTTGTAATTATCTCTTTCATAGAAGTTAGTCCAGTTGGTTCCATGAACAGCAGCAATGAACCGTGTTGAGACAGCCCAAAAGTCACTTACTTCTGTAATTCAACTTACAACGTGAAACTTATAACTGAGCCTCATTACACTCACAGAGAGAGATAAGCCCCGTTTCCACCGGCCCTTCATGGCCCTTTTCTACTCTCCCCCATTTGGGTTTAGGGTTCATACTGGCCCTCTTTAACTCATGTGAGTAATCCAAAAGAATGTAAGCATTAATCATGACTAATCCCACATGTCTCCCAGTGCTGTGTTTAGACCATCCCTTATTTGTGTTTCAGGTCAAATGTTGTCATTCTTGTCCGGTCAATGACCCATTGAAAACAGTGGCACCTGTGCTGCATTCAATAAAGGTTTAAAATATGCATAATTTTACACTTACAGCACATGTTAAGAATGATTCTAGATTTTTCACATGTGAATCTCTTTTAGGTAACTGACCGATGGACGGTTATAGGAATGGACCTAATCGGCCCACTAAAAGAAACACCACAAGGGAATAAGTATATTATGAGCATGAGCTGTTCACAAAGTGGGTATGTGCAGTGCCCCTTCAGTCAAAAACTGCACCAGAGGTTTCAGCTGCTCTAAGTGAAAACCTCTATACTTTTGGTTTGCTCAAGAAAATCATCACAGGCCAGGGATGGGAATTTGTCAATGAGGTGAAATGTATTTCTTGATTTCATGGGTTTGTGCTTTTTTCTTAACAATGTGTCCTCTTCACAGTTAAACAGGAAATTATTTGATTTATTTAACATTGAACACGCAATCACTAGTGCATATCACCCCCAAATCAACGGGCAGGTTTGTTTTTGAACATTTGAACATATACTTTTGTTATAAAAAATGTCCAAGCCTACATGATTTGCATTCAGGATGAGAGGACAAATCAAAACATAAAGAGGGCATTGAAAAAGTATGTTAACAAAAGCCAAAGTGATTGGGACGTGCACCTCTCTGCTGTGGTGTATGGCATAAACACAGCCAAACAGGTAGGCTAATTAGGCCCAAGCCCGAACGGGGAAAGGGCCTATTGTTTTTGCTCGAGAGATGTCAAATTCTGCACTTTGAGCCTTAATTTGATATTTTGGTGTTTATTTTTATGGGACTCAAAAAATGCCAGAACAGCGCCACCTACAACAGCCAAAATAATTCCCCTATGGGAGTTTGTCGTAGAGCCATGAAATTCGGTACACATGTTTCTCAAGTCAGGACAAGAAGAACATTTTATTATGGCCCCGCCCTAATAAAAGGCACCCGTATTTACATGTCACATTTGGCATGGATAGGACACTCAGATTGTGCAAAAGGAGGAAATGTGCAAACATGTTACAATAAAAAAAAACATGTTACAATAAAAGTGACAATAATTATGTACAACAAAAGTGACAAGTGTCAATTGGAAACAGTGTCAATAGTAGTGCAGGTTTTCACACAGTGATCATTTAAAGTGACTTATTGTACAGTCTGACAGCGGTGGGGATAAAGGCCCTGCGGTAGCGCCCCTTCCTACACTGAGGGTGCCTCAGTCTTCCACTGAAGGAGCTCCTCAGCTCCTCTACAGTCCTGTGCAGTGGGTGGGAGGTATTGTTCATGATGGAGGTGGCTTTGGCTAGCACCCTCCTGTCCCTCACCTCCTCCACAGAGTCCAGGGAGCAGCCCAGAGTGGAGCTGGCCCTCCTGACCAGCTTGTTCAGTCTGTTTCTGTCCCGCTCTGTGCTGCCCGGGGCCCAACACACGGCAGCGTAGTAAATGGCAGAAGCTACCACAGAGTCATAAAAAGTCCTGAGCAGAGGCCTGCTCACTCCGAAGGACCTCAGCCTCCTCAGAAGGAAGAGGCGACTTTGGCCCTTCTTGTGCAGGGCGTTTGTATTATGGGACCAGTCCAGTTTATTGTTAATGTGAACACCCAGGTACTTGAAGCTGTCCACCAGCTCAATGTCCTCCCCCTGGATGTTCAGCAAGTGGTTTTCTCCTGAAGTCGATGATCATCTCCTTGGTCTTACTGGTGTTCAAGCACAAGTGGTTGCGCTCACACCAGTCGACAAAGTCCTTGATAACCGACCGATATTCCAGTTCGTTCCCCTCAGACACACAGCCCACGATGGCGGAGTCGTCGGAGAACTTCTGCAGGTGACAGCTGTGTGTGTCATGTGTGAAGTCTGAGGTGTAGATGGTGAAGAGAAACGGTGAGAGGACAGTACCCTGAGGGGCCCCAGTGCTGCAGACTACCACCTCAGACTCACAGCTGCACGTACTGTGGTCGGTCTGAGAGGTAGTTGATGGTCCATGCAGTGAGGCTACTGTCCACTCCCGCGTCCTCCATCTTCCCCTGCAGCAGTGCCGGCCTGATGGTATTGAAAGCGCTGGAGAAGTCGAAAAACATGACCCTCACAGCGCTCCCGGCGGGCTCCAGGTGGGAGAGCGTCCGCTGCAGGAAGTAGATGACGGCGTCCTCTACTCCGATGTTGTCATGTTGAAAATTCGACGATTTAAAATGTAAATCCCCCTCGGCTCGATACGTCATCACGCTTGCGTCAGCACGCAGCACTTATGTGTATTAAAAATCAATATTCTGAATAATTATTTCAGCAATATAACACAGGGAGGCACAGGTGTATGATGATTAAACAAGTAAAGGACAGTGAATCTAATCCAGAATTAAACTGTCTGTGTTCGCCTCCGTGTGCCTTTGAACGCATCTGGGCTCTAGCTGCGCGGCTACTAGCTGAGCTCTTTTTCTGCCATTTCTCGTAATAAACCTTGATACGTATATGCACAAATCAATCATATAATCTGTATATCACAACACAAACTGTTTACGTGTTTATTTACACTTTTTGACATGTGCAAACTGGACTTCCTTTTGGCATGACTTCTCTGTGGCCCAGCAGTCGCAATGGACACGTTGCCGCGGAGACGTTGTCATGGAGACGACGTCATGGCGACAACTACAAAGCACCTCAAATTCCGGAATTAATCAGATACTGTCATGTATGGACAGACGATTCAACATCAAGGGGTCAACGTCGAGAATTCAGCATCGTGGTGTCAACATCGAGGAAATAAGACTCCGCAGAGGAGAAAGGATAAAGGAGTCCACACTTAGAGGTAAGACAGCAGATGAATAATGAGTAACCGCAGGGTGTGGCAGCTGCTGAAGCAGTGGCTGGATTATGAACAGGAGCTGCTGGACTCAGAGAGGATCTGGGAAGACAAACAAGAAAAGTGGTTCTCAGGATATCAGGATCCGGAAGATGTGGCTGATCTCTGGAGAAAAGATGAGGAAAAGTGGTTGGAGGAAAAGCAATCCTCTAGAGAGATACTACAGGAGATCCTTGGATCATCTGAGAATCTAAAAGAAGGATCCCCAGAGTTCCTCCTGGAGCTGAAGCATCAGATCTGTGAGAGGAGACTGCAGATGGAGCGCAGACGCTCCATGTGGCTGAAGAAAGAGGCCTGGTACCAGGGGAGAGAGGCCTCCAAGACCACTGTCATCACCCTGAGGAAGGAACTCCGAGATCTACGAGGCAGGTGTGAGAACAATGATTACAAACAAAGATTGCCGAGAGACCTGACGGAGTCTGCAGCTGAGGTCCCTGGGTCTGATGTTGAGGTCCCTGAGTCTGCAGCTGAGATCCCTGTGTCTGCAGCTGAGTCTAAGGTTGCGGAGTCTAAGGCCCCTGAGTCTGAGGTCCAGGACCTGCAACAGCAGCTGCTGCTGAAGGAGCAGATGTTGGTAGCTCTGAGAGCTAAGATGGAGAAGCAGGTGATGCTGCAGCAGAGCACGCAGGCTCTTGTGCAGGCGGCAAAGCAGGTGGTGGAGGTCAGTGAAAATAAATCCTTCAAAAGGCAAAAACTGCTGCAACTTGCCAATGAGCAATGTCAGCAGTATTTTGAGAATCGCCCTAATCATTCAGACTCCGAAGAGGACGTTCTGGTCTATAGTTTAACCACTGGAGAGATGTGTACCATCGACGAGAGCAGAATGGAGAAACTCAGGTCTATCTTTTTAAAGCTGAGGGAAAAGCATGGGGCACCAGGCTCTGAAGACGAAGACTCTGAGGAGCCCATGACCCCAGAGATGGTTGACGGCCTGAGGACCTCCTTATATCAAAGAATAAGGAAAACGAACAAGCACCTCCAGAAATATTGCATATGGGTTTCCACTTTTTGTTTAGAGACCGACAAGCTGTGTAAGATCCAGGACCGCAGTATCAAAGGCTTCATAAACTGCTTCTTTGAGTGGAGAGAGTTGAGGAGAACAAAGCAGACATGGAGCCCTCCTCTGAACAAGGGGGTTAGAATACCTCCAGAGAACAGGTTCAGGAGGTTAGTTCACAAAGCTTTCATGCCACACACATACAAATACAGGCCATCACTTGAAGAGAACGATGGTTCGATGATTAAGGTGGAGGACGCTGAAATCCTTAACCCCGCCTACTTTCAATGGAACCAATTCTTATCGGACAATCCCTCTGAACAGGTGGAGTATTTAGATTGGGTTTATTAAAGATACAGAGCAGAAGCATAAACGCTAGAGTTTATGCAGCTTTGAGAGGTCAGAGGGGCGGAGCCTGAGGTCAGAGGGCGGGGCCTGAGGTCAGAGGTCATATACAGATGCATTAACTTTATATAAAGTTTATGAATTTGTTTTTCCAACATTGATCCAGGAGGTCAAAGGGGCGGAGCCTGGGGTCCGAGGTCATAGGGGCAGGGCCTGAGGTCAGAGGTCATGTACAGATGCATAAACTTTATAAGAAGTGTATGAATTTGTTTTTCCAACATTGATCCAGGAGGTCAAAGGGGTGGAGCCTGGGGTCAGAGGGGTGGGGCCTGAGGTCATGTACAGATGCATTAACTTTATATAAAGTTTATGAATTTGTTTTTCCAACGTTGATCCAGGAGATCAAAGGGGCGGAGCCTGGTGTCAGAGGTCAGAGGGGCGGGGCCTTAGGTCAGAGGTCATGTACAGATGCATTAACTTTATATAAAGTTTATGAATTTGTTTTTCCAAAATTGATCCAGGAGGTCAAAGGGGCGGGGACTGAGGTCAGAGGTCATGTACAGATGCATTAACTTTATATAAAGTTTATGAATTTGTTTTTCCTACGTTGATCCAGGAGGTCAGAGGTCAGTGATAGGTCTGGGCTATCTCTAAGGTCTCTCTACTCTCTCTCTCTCTGGTCTCTTAGGGCAGACGCATGGATGTTATAATCTGTGATTCTGTCTCATGGACTGTGTTTTTTCCCGTCTTTCCTGGTCTCTCTCTCTGGTCTTTCTCTCTCTGGTCTCTCTTTCTAGTCCCTCTCTCTGGTCTCTCTTTCTACTCTCTCTCCCTGGTCTCTCTTTCTACTTCCTCTCGCTGATCTGTCTCTCTACTCTCTCTCTCTGGTCTCTCTTTCTACTCTCTCTCCCTGGTCTCTCTCATGGGCAGGACGGGGGCTGAGTGGTTAGCACTCTCGCTTGTAAGCCAGATTGCCCTGGGTAGATAGATAGATAGATAAATACTTTATTGATCCCCCATAGGAAAAATTCAGGTGTCCAGCAGCAGAAGACTCTTTTCTTGTTGCTGTAGTACAGTTAGTCAGGTTTGACAGTCAGTCAGGTTTGTTATACAGTCTGACAGCTGAAGGAATGAAGGATCTTTTGAAACGTTCCGTTCGGCAGCGTAGCGATAGGAGCCTGTTGCTGCGATTACTCCTCTGAGCGGCCATAGTGTCATGCAGTTTCCCCTACCACTAAAAACATGTACCAGCTGAATTCTCCAGCTCTGACCCTGAAGAGCATCAACATCTGCATATGGTCCTGTTACTACGGCGACCACTGTGAGCAGAATTCCAATCAGACTGACAGCTCCTGAAGGACGGGTCCAGACCACACATGAAATATTATCAATAAACAGCATTTAACTCAAATGAATATGACTCGTATGTCTCTCTCTGCTCTTTTTCTGGTCTCTCTCTCTCTCTGCTC